ATTATCAACAACATTAATTAAAACATTTTGTTTTCTACAAGGTATCGAAAAGAAAGCACTCAGTATTAGTTTAGAGAAAAGAAGAACCTCTAAAGAATTATCATAAGATAACTTAATCAACTTGTATACAAAAACTTATAATACATTCATGTATGAGCATGAATTTGCCTGTATCATATGTGTTACAAGAAATATTACTGTTATTACCTTTTAATAGAAATTTGCCACCAAAAATAAATTAAAAGAGAAAAACGATGAATACTTGGACTCTCTCCCCTCCCAAAAACATTCAGCTTCGTGCATGGCAGCTATTGTTTATATAAATAAAAAGATTTAATAGTAACTAGTTAGTAAGTAACATTGACCCGTGTACTTCTCGAAAATGATAACTACGATAAGTGATTTTTCTGGGATATCATCAGTACTATAACGGAGCAGTCATTGCATAATAACGAACAGCTACAGAGGGGATTATCAAAACGAAAATGATAACGTCTTGTATAAAAACGACAAAAGAAGACGTTAAAACCAAGCGCTGTGTTTTCGTGTTCGGGCTAACAATCATGAAACTAATTCTGTTGTTGTCATTTTTATTGTGCCTCGGTTTTGCTGTTCCTGCAATCGGCACCATAGTTCTTGCACCTTTTAAAACTTCTACATCCTCATATCGTGGCGTCAATCCTGTATCTTCTGAAACTACTACATCCTCATATCATGGCATGAATCCTGTAGCTTTTGAAACTACTACAACCTCAAATCATGGCATAAATCATGGCATGAATCATGACACTTCTGAAACTATTACATCCACACATCATGGCATGAATCCTGAGAATTCTGAAACTATTACATCCACACATCATGGCATGAATCCTGAGAATTCTGAAACTACTACATCCTCACATCAAGGCATGAATCCTGACACTACTACATTCTCATATCCCTGGAAACCTACCTTGTCAAGTACTGAGAATGAGCCTGGTCCCCATCAACAAACAAGAAAAATCTCCACCTCTACCCAAGCCCTTCAAGTACTTGACGAAGTGGAACACAATTTGAAATATCTCCTACAAAAACGTGAATATTACCAGGAGATGTTCCAATCGTTATGGGAATTATTGGATGATGCCTTTAAGAAATATCTAATAAGAATTAATGATTTCCAAACCTACTTTAGAAACCGCGTTGAGAAGAACCAACAAGAAGTTTCTCCCCAAAATCAAACAGATATAATTCAGTTAGAACGGAAGGTCAACGATTTTACCAAAGATATACAGCAGCTACGTAAAAGTATTGGACACATTGTAGGGTATCAAGGACCTGCTCATAACTTACAACAGTTCAATCCTGGATACCGAGGACAATATCAACATCAGTTCAGCTTTCCACAGTATTTTAGACACGGAAGATATACTCCTTTCCCAGTTCACCAAGGAAACCTGTGGAACTTACATCAGAGAACACCACCTGGCTTAGGTTACGTAAAAATTTACCATCCAATTCCCAGTTTCTAATGTAAACTCTAGTAAAAAGAAACCAACTTGAAATGAAAATGTATAATGTTGTTATTAAATATATACTGTTTCCTCGATGTCTAGTATTTTATTAAAAGAAAATAGTCTCATGAAAGGGTGTAGTTACCGTTAGTTTATTGATCTCTGTTTGAGTCATGCACCCACCCGATTTAAGACTTTTATTACTAATTTTAATAGTTACGAGGGCGACTACCTTTAACGTTAAAATTGAATTCCTTCCCAAAAGATTTAAACTGCTACTGGTTAACAATAAGTTTGATATTATATTTTCTTATCAAACTTTTTGATCGAGTTTTAAAAAAATTCACAATGCAAGAAGAAAGTCTACTTTAAGGGTATTGTTTTGTTACTAATTCCTGCAATAGCACAAACCAAAACAAAATATTGTACTATTTCAAGAGTGAGTAATTACGTGCTAAAATTATAGAAGTGTCCACTTAGTGGAATTACCCCTACGCTTACTTTGCGAAGGCTCGTCTACCTTCCTGCTATAGTCAGGAATCAGAAACAAAATTAATTTCATGGATTAATGGAAAATCGTTAATATATAAAGAGATGGACTACCTTGCTCAAAATTAGACAACTTGTATCACAGAAACGTGTACTGTTTGTTACATATACACAAGTATATGGATATAAAATAAATGCTAATAGTAAGATAACGAACTATTGTCCTATCAACGGTTAGTCATTAAAGTAGCCGTCAGTATCGGTGGCGATTTTATAAATTTTGGGTATTCATATTCAGAATTGTACCGAGGAGGATAGAAAAAAGGGCGGAAGAACTATTAGGGGAAGATCAATTTGGGATTAGAAGATATAGAGGAATGCGGGAAGTCATTCTAGCTTTACGGGTAACAGTAGAGAAAACGATAGAAAAAGGAATGAGTGTGTACATAGGATTTATAGATTTAGAAAAGGCTTTTGAAAATCTTATATGGGATAAGATGTAAATATAGGTACTTAAAAATGTAGGAATGAGTTAGAGATAGAAGAGTGATACTTAGTTTGTATAAAGAGCAACAGGCAGTTATAGAGCTGGGGATGCAACGTAGAGAAGTAAATATTAGGAAGGGAGTCAGGCAGGGATGCACACTGTCANAAACAAAAAAAAAAACAACAAACGCCTCAATAATTGCCCTATTAACAAATAACGTACAGGGGGTTATCTATAATTTACTAATTAATTAAAGAACATTGATAATACTGGATATAAAAACTGAAGACGCCACAATGAGCTTATAACACGTATAGCACTATTGTAATTCAAGCCAAAGTCCACTGTTACAATGAAGACCATACTTCTCTTCTCTCTGTTTGCCTGCGCCGCTCTTGCTACTTCTGTAGAACCAAGATCCCACCACTACAACCCTTCCGTCAGCGGCCACGGCTACCACAACTACCCTGTGGAAAGTAAGTATAAATTTGGATATCACCAACAATATCCATTCGGGGGATATCATCAACAACAATATCCACATGGAGCCTTCCAACAACAGCAATATCCACATGAAGCCTTCCAACAACAATATCCATATGGAACATTCCAACAACAGCACCCATTTGTAGGATACCAGCAACAGTATCCATACGACCAAATGAGCCAACAATACGTATCAGTACCCGTCCAAGCCCTTCAGGTACTTGGCCAGATGGAACAACATCTCTACCACATCCAACAACAACTCGAACACTACCAACAGGTTTACCCGCAACACCAATGGCAACAATATGTACAGGCCGTTATCAAATACCTAAACCAAGTGCAAGAACTCCAGTCAACTTTCCAAAACTACGTTCAGAACAACGAAATTGTTCCTTCCCAATACCAAAGCCAAGTGACCCAATTGTACAACCAAATCTACAACCTCTATCAAGAAGTTGAATACGTCTACCAATACCAAGAGTACTACGGTCATCAACAAGGTTCCCAATACCCATCGGTCTTCCAAAACTTCTACCCTGGCTACCAAGGGCAGTATCAATACCAACACCAACAAGGAGCACCAATCCATTCCGGTTTTGGCGTTTCTTACCCATGGAACGCATATCAGCATTATTCCTCTAGGAATTATCAGCCATACGAACAGGTAGCAGTAAAAGTTGCTTAAAAACATTGAACTATAAAGCTCTTTTAATCAGTATATTCAATAAATGATGGTTTATATGTAATTAAATACGTTTTTGAATTGTTTATTTCTCATTTTGCATCTTTCATGTAAGCATTTCTGCAACAATTAAAGGTGCAAGTTGTGAGGAAATGGAACCACACAAAGAAAATAAAATATTTCAGTGGAAACTTATGAGCATTTTTTTTTGTATTAGAATAATGAAATATAAACTCCATAATAGTTAGATAAGCTAGACGGTGAAAATAAAAGGATCATACATGAAATACAAACGAAAACTATTGAAATATTCACTTTCATTATCAACAACATTAATTAAAACATTTTGTTTTCTACAAGGTATCGAAAAGAAAGCACTCAGTATTAGTTTAGAGAAAAGAAGAAACTCTAAAGGATTATCATAAGATAACTTAATCAACTTGTATACAAAAACTTATAATACATTCATGTATGAGCATGAATTTGCCTGTATCATATGTGTTACAAGAAATATTACTGTTATTACCTTTTAATAGAAATTTGCCACCAAAAATAAATTAAAAGAGAAAAACGATGAATACTTGGACTCTCTCCCCTCCCAAAAACATTCAGCTTCGTGCATGGCAGCTATTGTTTATATAAATAAAAAGATTTAATAGTAACTAGTTAGTAAGTAACATTGACCCGTGTACTTCTCGAAAATGATAACTACGATAAGTGATTTTTCTGGGATATCATCAGTACTATAACGGAGCAGTCATTGCATAATAACGAACAGCTACAGAGGGGATTATCAAAACGAAAAACGATGAATACTTGGACTCTCTCCCCTCCCAAAAACATTCAGCTTCGTGCATGGCAGCTATTGTTTATATAAATAAAAAGATTTAATAGTAACTAGTTAGTAAGTAACATTGACCCGTGTACTTCTCGAAAATGATAACTACGATAAGTGATTTTTCTGGGATATCATCAGTACTATAACGGAGCAGTCATTGCATAATAACGAACAGCTACAGAGGGGATTATCAAAACGAAAATGATAACGTCTTGTATAAAAACGACAAAAGAAGACGTTAAAACCAAGCGCTGTGTTTTCGTGTTCGGGCTAACAATCATGAAACTAATTCTGTTGTTGTCATTTTTATTGTGCCTCGGTTTTGCTGTTCCTGCAATCGGCACCATAGTTCTTGCACCTTTTAAAACTTCTACATCCTCATATCGTGGCGTCAATCCTGTATCTTCTGAAACTACTACATTCTCAGATACCTTTTCGGGCATAAAGGGGTAGTCAGAGTCATATTAGAGGCAGAAACAGGAGTTAAGAGGAGTAGAGGTAGACATAGGCCATATGGAGGTCACCAACAGCAACAGTACCCATATGGAGGTCACCAACAGCAACAGTACCCATATGGAGGTCACCAACAACAACAGTATCCATATGGAGGCTACCCANCATGGCATGAATCATGACACTTCTGAAACTATTACATCCACACATCATGGCATGAATCCTGAGAATTCTGAAACTATTACATCCACACATCATGGCATGAATCCTGAGAATTCTGAAACTACTACATCCTCACATCAAGGCATGAATCCTGACACTACTACATTCTCATATCCCTGGAAACCTACCTTGTCAAGTACTGAGAATGAGCCTGGTCCCCATCAACAAACAAGAAAAATCTCCACCTCTACCCAAGCCCTTCAAGTACTTGACGAAGTGGAACACAATTTGAAATATCTCCTACAAAAACGTGAATATTACCAGGAGATGTTCCAATCGTTATGGGAATTATTGGATGATGCCTTTAAGAAATATCTAATAAGAATTAATGATTTCCAAACCTACTTTAGAAACCGCGTTGAGAAGAACCAACAAGAAGTTTCTCCCCAAAATCAAACAGATATAATTCAGTTAGAACGGAAGGTCAACGATTTTACCAAAGATATACAGCAGCTACGTAAAAATATTGGACACATTGTAGGGTATCAAGGACCTGCTCATAACTTACAACAGTTCAATCCTGGATACCGAGGACAATATCAACATCAGTTCAGCTTTCCACAGTATTTTAGACACGGAAGATATACTCCTTTCCCAGTTCACCAAGGAAACCTGTGGAACTTACATCAGAGAACACCACCTGGCTTAGGTTACGTAAAAATTTACCATCCAATTCCCAGTTTCTAATGTACACTCTAGTAAAAAGAAACCAACTTGAAATGAAAATGTATAATGTTGTTATTAAATATATACTGTTTCCTCGATGTCTAGCATTTTATTAAAAAAAATAGTCTCATGAAAGGGTGTAGTTACCGTTAGTTTATTGACCTCTGTTTGAATCATGCACCCACCCAATTTAAGACTTTTATTCCTAACATTAAGTCTGTTTGCCTGCGCCGCTCTTGCTACTTCTGTAGAACCAAGATCCCACCACTACAACCCTTCCGTCAGCGGCCACGGCTACCACAACTACCCTGTGGAAAGTAAGTATAAATTTGGATATCACCAACAATATCCATTCGGGGGATATCATCAACAACAATATCCACATGGAGCCTTCCAACAACAACAATATCCACACGGAGCCTTCCAACAACAACAATATCCATATGGAACATTCCAACAACAGCACCCATTTGTAGGATACCAGCAACAGTACCCATTCGGAGGATACCAACAACAGTACCCCTACAGCCAATTGAGTCAGCAGTACCTTTCAGTACCCGTCCAAGCCCTTCAGGTACTTGGCCAGATGGAACAACATCTCTACCACATCCAACAACAACTCGAACACTACCAACAGGTTTACCCGCAACACCAATGGCAACAATATGTACAGGCCGTTATCAAATACCTAAACCAAGTGCAAGAACTCCAGGCAACTTTCCAAAACTACGTTCAGAACAACGAAAACGTTCCTGCCCAATACCAAAGCCAAGTGATCCAATTGTACAACCAAATCTACAACCTCTATCAAGAAGTTGAATACGTCTACCAAAACCAAGAGTACTACGGTCATCAACAAGGTTCCCAATACCCATCGGTCTTCCAAAACTTCTACCCTGGCTACCAAGGACAGTATCAATACCAACACCAACAAGGAGCACCAATCCATTCCGGTTTTGGCGTTTCTTACCCATGGAACGCATATCAGCATTATTCCTCTAGGAATTATCAGCCATACGAACAGGTAGCAGTAAAAGTTGCTTAAAAACATTAAACTATAAAGCTCTTTTAATCAGTATATTCCATAAATGATGGTTTATATGTAATTAAATACGTTTTTGAATTGTTTATTTCTCATTTTGCATCTTTCATGTAAGCATTTCTGCAACAATTAAAGGTGCAAGTTGTGAGGAAATGGAACCACACAAAGAAAATAAAATATTTCAGTGGAAACTTATGAGCATTTTTTTTTGTATTAGAATAATGAAATATAAACTCCATAATAGTTAGATAAGCTAGACGGTGAAAATAAAAGGATCATACATGAAATACAAACGAAAACTATTGAAATATTCACTTTCATTATCAACAACATTAATTAAAACATTTTGTTTTCTACAAGGTATCGAAAAGAAAGCACTCAGTATTAGTTTAGAGAAAAGAAGAACCTCTAAAGAATTATCATAAGATAACTTAATCAACTTGTATACAAAAACTTATAATACATTCATGTATGAGCATGAATTTGCCTGTATCATATGTGTTACAAGAAATATTACTGTTATTACCTTTTAATAGAAATTTGCCACCAAAAATAAATTAAAAGAGAAAAACGATGAATACTTGGACTCTCTCCCCTCCCAAAAACATTCAGCTTCGTGCATGGCAGCTATTGTTTATATAAATAAAAAGATTTAATANGATGTGGTGTTACAGGCGAATGATGAGGATGCCGTGGATAGAGAAGGTTAGAAATGAAGAGGTATTAGAAAGAATAGGAGAACAGAGGACTCTATGGAAATCAACAAAAAAAAATAGAAACAGGAGTTAAGAGAAGTAAAGGTAGACCTAAATTAGATTATTGTTTGCAAATAGTTACGGATGTAGGTTGTTCGAGTTTTAGGTAAATCCGAAGCTTAGCTCAGGATTGGAAAGAGTGGAGGTGCGTGTTCAACTAGTCTTAGGACTGACTACCTTAAGATGATGATCCCGTAAGATTCAGTTATAAAAATGTGGAACCAGATGCAGAAGCGGATCTGAAAACGTATGCGGAACTTCTGTAATTGCGGAAACGGATACAGAGGTCTGTTGCAACACTAGTATAGGTACTTCCTTAAAAGCAGGCTAGATTCGTACGAAGGAATATAAGAAGTGTATTAGAAACTTAGTATCCATTGTTTTTACTTCAGCAGTTATCAATTTCATCAAAATTCGCATTTTGAAAATTCTTGAAATTCTATGACATGATTAGTTACTAATAGTGGATTAATATGCAATATTAATTTAAAATCATTTTTTCGATTTTTTATTTACCCACTACAAACTACCTCAAATTAATGAGGGAAAAATTGTTGCTGTTGTCACACCCCCACCGGGAATCGAACCCGGGACCTTTGGCTTTACGCACCAATGTTCTACCACTAAGGATTCGATTCCCGGTGGGGGCGTGACAACTCAACTGGACAAATGTTGAACATTATTGAATATTCTAACTAGTTTTTATACAAAACGCCTTTATATGGTGTCAGAAGGTATCCCACCACTCATACATAATGGCTCGTGAATATTTCTAATAGTTCACGAACATTCCCAAACGCTCTCAACTCTTCTGGTCCACCTCATTTCGGTAAATCATAGCTGAGTACAATCCTACAGAAATTCAAGAACATTCCAGCTGAAGACCATTTGAAAAACAGAGAAGAACGTTCCACTAGATTCTTACACTTAGCCTGAAGGGCTGTTTGGTAGCCGATAGTCGGTTCCCACCAACCTAGAGAAATATTGAACATTAAAGGAAATTCTAAACATTTTTTATTTAGAACACTGCCGAAATATATGAAAATGTTCTAATATAGGAAGCCAGTTCTACTACTTATACGTAATGACGTTTGATTGTGGGGTGGTAGGTGGTGCATCCGCAAATCCACCAACCCACTAAAATTAAAAAGATTTCGAACATTATAGGAGATTTGAAACAGTTTTTGGAACACTGTGGAGAAAAAAACTGAAAATGCAACCACCGTAGTGCATGACAGGAGAGACAGGAGACTTGAGGTAACTGTTACATACAATCATCAGCGATCTGCGCTGGTAGTTCTGGCGACACACACACGTCAGGTTTTAATCATATCATACTGATTGAGGAATTACAAAGGATTTGTTAAGAAAAGCGAGGATTTTCCGGGAATCATGAGGGTTTTATTGGAATTACCGTGGAAGGATTTATTTCTCTTGATGGAGAATTGCCACTGCTTATACATTTGTACATATAAGCATTACGTCCGGAAGTGACGGTCTATGTTAGTCACTGAATCCAGGGGGTACTTCAGTGGATTGTCCCCATTCCCAGATGTGTATCTACACCTCATGAAGTACAAACAGACCGAAGCATGAGAATTATAAAATTTATTTGATATTACATATTGTTCTCATAGATTTTGCTAAAAATTTAAATCGACTCTCTTCTTTTGTAATAATTGTAATATTACCTAGGTCATGCTTTACTGCTTTCTTTTAAAAATACATTAAATTCAAATCCCATACCAAATAACANAGCAGCAATTTGTTATGATAAAAAGTCGTATAGAATCATCGGAATGCAGTTCTTTTTTCATTTAATTCAAACATTTTATCGTAAACATACCAAGAATACCTATAATTTGCAATAGGATCCATAATGCACCATTTCGTTGTCCATGCTTGGTTTAATTTCTACGCACATATACCGATTGTGATGATTTCACAATCCAGTATTAAATGTATGCAATTTGAACTGTCCATCATTAAACGGTTCATTTTAGCGATGAAAATAGTGCAAACTGCTCAGCAGTTATAAAAGAAATAATTAATTAATAACAACAATCATCTTCGTGTTGCTCCTCGCTACAAGAGCATTATTGCTCCGTTTACCGTTACACTTATAGCTCGGAACTTAATTTGCTTTGTAAAAGTTCGACTTATAGAGAGAGAGAGACATGTGTTTGCTCGTACGTACTTGTGTGTGTGTGCACCTCGCCACTCTACTGACCACGGGTTACGTCTGAAGGTTTATACAAACGTAAATATTATAAGCTGTACACTTCTCGGATATGTGTTAGAACTGACCCACATTTACGGAATACTATTATTAGTTGTGTCTGCCACTTCTTTTTGGTTCAATGTGCCGCACTTAATGTCAGATTAAGCAGCCGACGGTACTACCGAAATATGGTTAATTTATTCCTTCCTATTAAAGTACAGATGTAGAAATTACACTTGGAACTTCAAGAATTAACAAGTACAGATTACGAAAAACAAACAGAACGAAGTTTATGTTCTTGCTCAGCAATTAAAGCTGTCCTTATCTCTTATCAATTTGGAGTGCGTGCCTATCAAATATATAGATTCGGTTTGTTACCGAATAAAGATTTGGACCTCAGGTTAGCATCTAGGAGGACACAGGTTCGATTCCGTTGTCCAAATTTTTCTGGGGCTTCCATGGATCATTTAGGCAAATGCTAACATTCCAGTTTTGCCTTCATGTCTCTCTCCAAACATCACCCTCAAGCCGTACATCTGTTTTGCTCTCAACATACTCATCTTTTTTGGCTTCATCGCATCGTTTGTTATTATTTTATTAGCCGGTACTCGCAGTCTTGTTTTTGCCCACCAATAAGCCTACTCCGAAGAGAGCTTCTGGTGTCTTGACCACTCTAACACCGTTTACAAGAACAAGACACAGTCGTTTCTGACAATCGCGAGCTTCCACAGCCTACTTGCTCTTGCACGTAGGTAATCTGTGTTCATACGGTCGGACTAAATCGGATCGCGTGTTTAACGGCTAATTATAATCAAGTGCAACAGTGAAAAAATTGATACAAAGTACACATATAACTCTTCAAGATACTTTAATAATGATGATGATGATAACAATAACACTGTAGTAATAGTAACTGTTCCAATTTCGATTATCATTATTTTCTAGTAGTGTATTGTGTTTGGTTAATGTGAAAATCATAAAAGTTTTGTGACAATAACGATCAGTTTTAATGGTCTGACCAAGGTGCAAGTATGGTAAGTTTCACCCTACTTAAAAACGAAATTTTCAAAAATTGTTTCATTTTTACGTGATACTCTCCCCTTGATGATTAACATGCACGATTGTTGGAAAAACAAAAAAATATATTAAATTCTTTTACATATATGTTGCGTAAATATTTGCACATAATGGCATTAAATAGGTACCTATATATTTATGACAAGCTTCGATAAATAATAATAATAAAAAGATAAAATGCTGAAGATTCCAGTGAAGTATGACAAAACGTTTAATATTGATACAACAGCCACAATGAATGCTGTACTAAACTAGCCAAAGTTACTTTTTATTCAATTACTTATAAGGGAAATACTTAAAGTAT